CCCCGCCCCCAGGCCGCCCCCAGCCCCGGCCTTTGTAACTTTCCCCCGGGGCTCTGGCCGCCGGGGCTGCGCGCGAGGCTTTGTGCGGCCGCGGAGTGGAGTCCCCGGCCCGGCCGGCCCGTCCCACGCGGGACATGAGCGGCTGAAGTTGGCCCCCTCCAGCCCTCACCCCTGCCGGGGGCCCCCGGACTTGCAGGCGCTCTCCCGCCTCCCTCCCAGCCCCCTCGGTTCTCCCAGGTAAGTCTGGACACCCCGAGCCCGAGGGGTGGGCAGGAGGCCCCTCTGGCCCGGGCCTGGCCTGCCGGCTGGGGAGGAGTGCCCTGCACAGACGCCAGGCCGAGGGAAGGGGCCTGCCCTTGGGTCAGGCCGGTCGCCATGGAGATGCCCGGCTGGCGGTGCCCCCGCCCCAAGGCTTCCATCCTGAGAAAACTTTCCTAGTTCCTGGCTCTCCCCGCCGCCCCCTTTCTAAAGGCACCCAGATTGCTGGAGGTGGGAGGGGTGCCTACTGACTCCAGGGCGCTGACGCATCCCCTGCCGCCACCCTGCTCCCTCCACCCCTGCTGCAGGGACAGCAGCAGCGGGGACAGATGGCCTGGGTGATGTCCCTCCCCTCCTCTGCTCACTCCCAAGCCCTTGTGCCGGGGCTACTGGGAGTTGCCACGGCTCCGGAGACGTGCTGAGTTTGTGTCCATTTGCTGGAGGTGTAAGTAGAGGCCCAGAGCTTTGGCTTGAGCTCCTTCGAACTCCCTCTCAGCTCCAGAGATGCCTGTGCACTCTCTGGAGAGGCCAGGCTCGGAGATGTCTTTCATATTTGGAGAGAGACCCAGGTGTTCTGCGTTCCTTCCCTCCAGGTTCTTGAGCCAGCACATTTCTCCAAGTGGCCCTTGGATTAAGGCCTGGGTCGTTGTGCGTTGGGTCCTTGCCCAGGCCTGGCCTCTGAGGAGCTGGGGCTTCTTGTGTGGCCAGTCCACCTGCCTGTGGAGTGGAGAGACGAGGTGTTGGGTGGGGACCGCTTCTTATCTTGGGTCCAGACGGCACGTGAAGGCTGCATGTGCTGTTCTTGGAGCGTGTGGACATGGCCTGTGAGAGCACCTGCGTAGGGTGGGGGGCCCGCCACGGGCACCCTGGTCCCACCTGGGGCTGTGGGGATCCAGCCTTTGGTGGGCATGCTGGGGCGCGCGGAGACCAGAAGCCTGCCAGGCAGGGTGAGGCGCACACGTGTGTGGGCGCACACGGGCTCTGGCTCCGGCCCCTTTGGGACTGCCGCCTGCGCCCCTCTGGGACCTCCTTTTGCCTACGTTGTGAGGAGGGGGCCCTGGGGAGAGGATTAAATGACACGTGTTGGCACGGGGTCTTCTTTTGTCTCTTCCCCCAAAGAACAACATACATTGTGTGTCTGAATTGGGGACGGGGCTCAGATGCAGCCAAGGCAGTCACCCTTTCAAGTGCGATCAGGTTTTGGGGACCAAGGAAGCAAATATTGAGGTCGCAACCTTTGGGGCCGTGCCTCAGTTTCCCCTCTTGTCTGGTGGGAAGAGGCAGCAGTCGCAGGGGTACCTGGCTCATACCCAGCTGTGAGTCTGATACTTCCAGTCAGGAAAAAGTTTGCCAGGTGAGGTGGGGGGCCCATCACACGCCCAGACACACAGACTCCTGTCTTGGCCCAGCCTGCCACCTGAGCCCTAGACCGCAGGAGTAGGGTGGGATCGTCACTCCCCTCCTCAAGTCTCTGGAAAGGGGTCGAGGCTTTGGCTTTCTGGTTTGGAGACAATACTCTGCGGGGTGGGGTTGGGTGGGGGCCAGGCTGATAAGGGAGGGGCCGTTAGTGGGGAGGCAGGGACCCAGCTGGTTATCTGGTAGGCAGCACCCCCCCCCCCCCCCCCC